AAATGTTTAAATGGTGAAAGCAAAAATCATGAGGTTATATTTGCGTTCGTGTATTGGGATTCGTTCTCTAAGTAGAAAATTTTAATTCATCACGGATTTAATTTATAATGTCACTTTTAAGGTGTTTTTATTTTCTTTGCACTATATATGTTGTACCCGAAAACGATACTTTCATTAGAGGGGTAACAACATTTAAAATTTGTACCAGAATTTTGATAAATCGTAATTCCGCTCATTCAATTTGTTTGAGGTACATAAATACCAAATTTTAAAAGCAACGTTCCTTAACCTCGAATTCAGGGCGTAAACTACGTATCTGAAAGGCGTTCTAGAATGAGAAACGTTTCATGATTTGGGTGTCATTCATTCAATGGCAATACTTTTTGCGGCAAGCGATTAGGTTCATCGACAATTTTTTTCACTTTTATCAGTAAATGAACCTTCGTTTAATTTTGCTGATGAAGTCACGCGAACCAAGGTCATCAAAAAGTTACAGAATTATAGCTTAACTTGCCCTTACGAGAAAATTTCATCGGCACTATGGCTTCTTGAGCCAGCCTTTCGACATAATGAACTTCACAATACATCTTTATAAAGAGTTTCCTTGCAAGCTGACACATGGATAGCAATGCAAGTCGTACTAATAAATAGAGAAGGTAAAAAATAAATAATACAGCTTCTGTTCATATTCGCCATAAAACTGCTTCTCTCGGCGTTATTAAATGTACCAAATAATTTGTTTGTATATTAAAAAACTTAAGCGAATTAAAATATTGAAACGAGTGTTTTAATGACTGTTTAGAATAAAAAGGAAAGTATAAATCTTTAAAAACTGTCATAGTCACGATATCACCTCTGCCCTCAGTGTATGAAGCTTCTGAAGCGAACAATCGAAGTGAGACATTGCAAACCTCTCTTTTCAGTATATTTGAGTGCGGAGAGCGAATGGAATGAGTGCAAAAAATTGGAAAAAGTGAGTATGAGATGCTAATAAACAATTAAATATCTCGAGAACGGAAGTTAATGGCACCGATCGGATTGCGGAATTTGGATTTGCGTTTAAAGAGGGTTCAGAAGAGACATAAATTTGCAACATTTGCAAATTTATAAACAATTTCCCACATTTGCATATCTAAAGAGAGGAGAGTTTTCCGATGTGCCTAAGCCTAAAATCGCCAATTAAAGATTTTAAACCAATTTACAAATTTATAAACAAATACGAAATATATGCGCTTCAACGGCCGAGAATGATCCGCAAATTGTGCCTGAGATGAACATTTTCATATAACACTTTGACAGATTTACAAATAGATTGCTAAAAATGATATAATTGTTGCAAAACTACTAAATATTTAGTGATCTATTGACAATGATACTGGACTTAAAACCCCAGCTCAGAAATATTTTTTCGTTATGGCCTACGCGCAGGCAAAATCTCTTTCGGTAGGGAAAGATGGCGATTTCCGGTTAATATTTCAACAATTAAGACCCCGCCCCCGGGGAACTAGAGTTTTTACCGCCCCCTGGGATTTTGAGTCACATCAAAATAAAAAAATAAAAAAGAATTTTTTTTAGAAAATTGTGGAAATATCTGGGGAGCTTCATGAACCCCCCAATTTTGAAGAAAGTTTAAACCACACCCAGTGACAAACAATACATTTAATGCTGAAATAACAGATTATTTAAGTATTGAAATCCCAACCGCAGCATCACCAATCAAACGTATATCACCTTCAGCGTCAGCATCAGTAATCAAATTCTTTAAATTTAAAAGCACAACTATTGGACAAAATCAGCAAAGCTTGCGTTAGAAAAGATATTAAATGAACCGTTGCAGCATTGACGGCGATCTTTAACGCGTCACTATGTCTTAACTACTTTCCAAGAGCATGGAAAAGGACAATTGTAATTCCATTTTGAAAACCTAACAAAGATTCGAGATTTGCTGAAAACTATATACCCATCAGTCTCTTATCTACACATTCCAAAATATATGAAAAATTGATATTAACTCCTTTAAACCATTTTCTAACCTCAATGATTGCTATACCATCCGCTCAGTTCGGTTTCAAAGCGAATCACGCTACTACCTATCAACTACGATTTATCGAGACAATCGCTCAAGGATTTCATGCCAAGAAACACACAGGAACAGTGTTTCCGGATTTGCGCCAGGCTTATGGTAGGGTTTGGCATACAGAACTCGAATAAAAAAGCCATCAACTGGGTACCCCCAAACCTATTAAAAATTATTCAAAGTTTCATATCTAATAGAACATTTATTGTTAAAATCAACAACTCCATTTCAGAATCTTATCCACTAGCAGGAGTACCACAAGGATCAGTACTCTCTCAAACATTATTCAATATTTATATCCATGACATACTCATCCACGGTGACTGCAACATTACATTATATGTGGATGACACGGCTCTTTTTTCTACAGATTCTGATATCTTTGTAGTGAAAGATCACATCCAAAATCATCTTGATGAGTACATTCATTGGACACAGAACTGGAGAGTTAAAATTAACTTATATAAATGTGAGGCAAAACCGTTCACCCTATGTAGACCACGAAATACAACTGTACTAATACTAGGCACAAGAATACCATGGGCCACCTAATCAATTAAATACCTAGGCATTTTATTTGATAAAAGGTTAACATTGAAACCACACATCAATGCAGTAACAAACAAAAGTAAAAATGTCAATATTATTTCCCATACTAAACCAACTCTCCACATTGAAAATTGAATGTCGACTGCTACTATTCAAATCAATCATCCTTCCTACCCTAACTTAGGGATGCCCAGTCTGGAGAGGTGCAGCTCCTGGCATTATCAACAAAATTAGAGTAATCAACAATTTATTCATAAGAAATACCCTAAATGACCCTTGGGTCATTACAAATTAACAAATTCATCTCAAAGTAAAAATACCAAAACTGGAAGAAACCATAACCATAGTGAACAATTTTTACAACAACATGCATACGTCCCTAAGTACATAATTTTTACCATACGAAAAAAGGCAGTCTATCCACACATGAAGTCAAGATTTTCCAAAGATTCAAACCACCCTAAACCATAACACAGCTCCTTAATATCCGTTTACCCTGCTCAGATTTATTCATCAATTCATTTTAATCAACAATTATGTCAGAGCACAAACCGCTTATATCTTATGGATGGCCAATCTAATTCTTCCAAACTGGATATTCCCCGGTCGATCTGACTCAACTTGAAGGTTTGCGAATTTGAAAATCATTCTTTAAAATTTGGGGGTACTTTACATGAAGTCTCTGGGACAATGTCAAAATTTTCTTAAAAATGGCTCCATTTTTTAAACTTTTTAAAAAAGAATAGTCCCCTTCAAAACCCATGACGTCAGTCCGCGTATTCTTTTGAATAGTCCTTGTATTTTCAAAAAAAATCAACATTGCCTTATTTGAAAATATTTTCATTGAGCACATTTAATTAAGAAAAAAATATATCTTTACAATTGTAGTTGCAGGAAGACACCGAAAAAATATATATATTTTTTATTTTCTAAAAATCGAGGCATTTCAACAAACGTCTAAATTTAATAAAAAAGTGTGAGCTGTTTTTAAGGAAAAATGGTTTAAAGGCAATAAAAATTGCTCAGGGTTTTCAATGAACACGAGACCTGCGCCATTATCTTAAACGCCCTTCGCACTATCCAATAACGAAGTTTAATCAAGGACGAAGATAATTAATATTCAGAATCCTGAAATGCTTAAGAAAGAATTTTTTTCATCCGGGAAGTCGATCTCGGAGCTGACGGCAACGCAGGGTTTGAAGTACCGTACTCCTTAGATCGGTTTCGGAAAACGTCGGTCCTATCGAGAGTAAAAGTTTTCAACACACAGTGGGAATATTTTTTAAAGTGGATATTCTGCTGTAGATGCTAGGCCTACTACTCAGTTCTCACAAATTTAGATGATAACTGTAGATTACATGAAGTGCCTGAAAAGTAGACATAACAACACTGTAAAATTTTCATTTTTAATAATACTTTTGAATTTTTGAAATGAATATATGTTAGTATTTGCTTGAATCATCCCAATATCTCAATTTTTGGAATTTTGAAATTACATAATTGATTTTGCAATACTACAACTATTTTAAAAAGTTGTTCAGCAATTGTATTTAGGACCTTTAAAGTTTTCTCACCAATTTAATTTGTTACAAGATTTCCGGATATTTTTTCGAAATTTGATTTGGTAATTTATGCTCTACACAGTTTCAATAGATAGATAACATTTAATAATCTGATTTTATCTGTTTTAATTATGTTTGATTATTAAAATATTTTAGAATACTATTTAGCTGTACGAAACGCAATTTTAATGGTCGAATTTTGTTCATTAGCTTAAAAATATTTAGTTTTCACACCACATGTTCTGCGATTTGAAACGAGTTTTACAAACCAAAGTAACCTCATTACTATAATAGATGTTTAATTCGAACAGAATTTGCGGTATAAATAGTACGTAACCATTCCTACGGGCGAGAAAGTATATGCTGTAGTAGCACCACTAGTTTCCTTAATAATGGCATCTTGTGTAGAATACATTTGGCAACTCTGACTGGTTGGCACTCCAATTAATTTGATGCATTAACAGGGCATCTTTCCACAAGTTATTTGAGACAAGCTGATCTCTGAAGGGACTTGGAGCAGCACTCAAGTACATGGAACTGAAGGGTACCGATATGAGTATCCAAGACAGGTCTTCTGAAGGCATGTGTGTATTCACATGATACCACAGCACGATTGACTTCTTATAAGATAAAACTAATTATTCATTTATCATCATCACTTTACCATCCATAAAGTGCCGCCCATAAAAGAAAAGGTTAAAAGCATAAGCTTCCTCCCTTACGTAAGCTTAGAAATGAGTAGGGCACTTCTCTCACGATTTTTGGAGAAAGGGTCATAACATCAGTCATCTAAATAATGCCACTATATTTAAGAAATTAAAAACTAAAATCAAAACAGCATTTCTTTATTGGTGTTTGTATCAAGTGACGCATTTGCCTACAGAATGAATACAGTGAAAGAGCACATTTTTGTCACAAACTGGCATCTCTAGCAGGTCAATATCCTGGGGAAAACAACAGAAAATGAAGCAAAAATGGAATGGTCATATTTATGAAACTCATTCTCTTTTGCCACTTTGTTTCACCTGTAATCAAAGTAGGGTCATTTTGCCCTATGCAATTTATTTTAAGGAGGTATAATTGGTTAGATAGAATTTTTATATTTCGATCTGACTTTAACAATCCATAAAACTGATTTTTTACAAATAAAATGGACTTGTTAAGGACACATTTGTCCCTACGTTAAAGTAACTACTACGACATATCAAATGTCATATCAACGTATAAGAACATTTTATGGCAAAAATTTAAATCATCTAAATTATAATTTTTGTTTCAGGAAACAACAGATATTGCATCATTCACAACAAACTCGGCATTTACACAATATCATTATTTTCAAATTCTCTATGCACACCATTGCCTATTTACACTGTACAATTGATATCATCTACAAACAGAAGCCATTATTGGCTCTCTCCCCCTATGCAGGGTGGAAATAAGATGAATCATCCTAATAAAACAATATTGTTTTTAAAAAAATTGAGGAATATATAAGAAAATTTCTATCACTCTTTCCACATCTGACTTGTACTAAAATTTTATAGAATACACTCCAATACTCTTCACACATACTTATCTTCTGACCAGCAGGTACAAGTTTCTTATGTCACACAGCAGCAGTTCACAACACAAAATTTTAATATTCGCTGCCCAGAATAAATCTCCTATTTTGTTTAATCACAAGTATTATTATTATTAGTGATACTAAACCAAAATACGTTGTTTGCAAAGGATTCTGCTACTGTCATCAAAATGAGAACACATATCACAGTCTTGGTGAGGTACACTCAAGAAAAAGTAGCATAGATTAGAATTAATATCATGAGCATTATTGTAGAATAAGGGAAAATATAGTTTACACTATAGTATTTGTTTTGAAGAGTAAAATAAAAAATAATGTAAAAACAAACTTAAGTTTGCCATACAAAATACATTTCTTGGAACATAACATTGAATCACAATAAGAATGCCTTAAAACCATCATTCACATTTAAAAGCCTTGTTTCTCTTAGACTAGCTTTTTTGAATGAATGCTTTAATGCACTCTTTTACAAACTTTGGGATGTGCTCTATCGAATTACCCACGAATGAAATAATTTTTTAAAAACCTCTTTCTTCATGGGATACTGCAAATTTAATAAAATAAATTTTCAAAATACAGTTCAATTCAACAATAATCCAAATTGTACATTTCAGGCCATAATCTATATAATTTTTAATTTATATTCAACTGTTTATATTGAAAAATGAAAAAAGTTCCTACATTATTTGCATTTCATATATTCACTTCCATTGCACAAAACCCAAACTTAAGAAAAGATAACTGACTTGCTTTTATGCCCTGAGAGCACAAAAGCTCTATCAGGAGTCACAACTGATTTATAAAATTAAGAAACACAAAAGAGAGAAATTTACAAGGGAAAATGAACTACGAGCACAATTCTACACATTTACAAATGAATGTTAAAAAAAAAAATTAAAAAAAGGACAATGTTAGAAGGGTGGCAGTTATGAGTTGGCAGTACGTATTTTTTCAGTCACCAACAACTTAGACAAGCTCTCAACTGCCTTAAAAACCAACAGTTATTAACATGAACAACACTTTACTGACAGAAAAATACAGTTTTTAATTGCGGCCAGAACGTCGTCGAGGAGTAAACGTCTCCTCAAGAGTGCGCTGACGACCTCGTGCAACTTTCCCACGAGAAGAGCCATTTGCTTTCACTCCTGCCGAGGTGGGTTTGCGTCGCAGTTCATAAGGGTTGTCGGAACCCCTCGATCGATCCACCCTCTGATCTGCTAGGTCCCACTCGTCCTGCAAGCGCTTGGCTAATTCCCAATCTGCCTGCTGCTGCTGCTGCTCCTGCTGGAGACGCAACTCCTCAGCAGCCTGCTCCTCTGCCAGCAGACGGAGCGCAATTGATTCCCTCCCTCTCCCAGGCACATCAGCTGACTCGTTTTCCACTCCTTCTCCTTCCTCCTCTATGTCCATCCCACTCGTGTGAGCTGTCCCAGGACCTGACTTAGTGGCAACTGGTGAACTATTATCAATATCCATACTGGATACCCTAGAATCTGGTGTATCCTTGGTGCCAGCATAGCAGCCAGAAGAAGAAGAAGATGCAACGGGATCATCTGCAGGTATGATCTGAAGAAATCCAACCTTAGTATGAAGATCTGCAGAATGTGAGCTGGAAGCTGGTCCTGAAGGGCTCAATCGCAGCACTCCCATATTAATGTCTGTCTCGGTAGTCGTTGGAGAGGATGGGGTTGCCTCAGCACTGCTCTCTTCTGTGTCCAAGGCAGCGGGTGCTAACCGTGGACGTTTCGTTGGCGTTTCCACTTCTGCTTCTTCCAATCCTGAAGATGAACGGGCCTGCTGTATGCATGGGTAACCTGCAGAAGTACCAGCAACATGCATGAAGTATAATGCCCAGCACCCATGCATATAGTATACTCAAGCACACTAAACTATCAAATGCAACTGAATCTCTGCAAAATTACTTTTATAGTGCAAAAGAATAAATCTACTTTATTATTTTCCTAACTAAAAGTATTAGAAGAATATGTCAGACACTCAGAGAAAGAAAAAAATTATGATTATCAAAACACTCAATAAAGGATTATAATATCTTTTGAATTACAAATCAGTAATATATTTCATCATAACAAAAAGCTCAAAATACAATTCTAACAAGAAATATTGTGATGTAAGTCGAGATAGAATAAAGTAAATTTTTAGAACTGCTAAGTAAGCAAATATGCTCAAAGAACCAGTCAAATCTGATATGTAATAAAAGTAAAGAAAAACCATACGTGATATTTACAAACTTTAGTATACACTTATTAATGGAATTTTGAATTATAAATTTTATTCAGTGTATTAACTAAGAAAGGTGAGTCCCTACCTCTGTAAATTCGACAATCCCTCTTAATTGTTTGCAATCTAAACCTTCAAGAGAGAAAAAAATGTCTGGTGTCTGTTTGGTGCTATGTTGAAGGACATTCTTGGAAAACAAGTAGAAATAGAGTAAACCCTCATAAGCATAAACTCACTTAAAACAAACCCTTCCCTAACACAAACAAAATTTGGGTTCTGGAAAGGAAACAGTAATTCAATGTAAACAGTGAAACATCTATATAATGATTTTTAAGGGACCATGAGTTCTGAACACTGAATAGAGGAAAATACTATAAAGGGGATGACTGTGAATACGGGCTTTTGGTCGGGACTAGAAAAAATTGAAGTAACATGTATGAAAACATTACATGGAGGAATGTTATAAAGAAGTTTCACTGATGTAATCAGATTACAAACTTTTTTTATCGCACAATCACAGATTATTTCAGTCCCTTGGAATTTGTATTAATCAGGGTTTACTATTGTATAAATTTTGCACTGGCTATGGATACTGACTACAACCTATTTTAAATCCTATCAAAATAATTTTTGACAATTTTGTTACAATAATTCATATCACCTGTCACCTGTTTCAGTGCTTTCCTCAAAAATTTATGGCTTACAGATGGAGCTTGATGTTGTCATTTTATATAACTCGCATAAACCCTTAAATTAAAATGTTCACTTGCTTATTTGCTCCTTTATTTCAGAGCTGCATGTCCCCCAAGAAGTATCCTGTCTTTCCAATACTTCCCCCACCCTGTACTTATTTGATTTATGTTAATGAAATTACAACATACTGGAGCATGTCAGAAGTCCAGAACACAGTGAAAATATGAACAATTTACAAAAGAAAGTATTTCTTCGCACTGGAGATAGAGCAAAAGTCAATAATACATAAACTTGTTTTTGAGGAAAAATTTGTTATTTATATACAAATCTACCAATCTTATTTAATAAAATCTTATTTTACAATAGTCTCCAGGATTTCTCTGATGTACAATAGTCTCCAGGATCAATGAAATTCTATAACTTTTTCCTAATTTAACAGAAAGTAGCCAACTGAATTAGGACTAGCCATCTAAAAATGGTTTTGAATACAAGTGATATTTAAAAATGTTGAAATAAAAAAATTATTAATTAATTAATTGACTTTGGTTGCAAACAACATGGTGCATTCTCAAAAGGGTTAACTACAACATTAATTACTACAAAAGCTACATTCAGCTTAGAAGAAAAAGTGTTGAACTACAGTGTCATTCTCTTTACAGTTGCTCAAGTAAAATATTTAAACTACTATGAAACCACTAGTAGAGAAACTAAACAGCAATTTGGAAAACTTTCCTTGAAAACACAATTGATAATCAATATTCTGCAAAAATCCTTTTCAGGAGATGAAGCAGATATGAATGTGGGAATGTTTTGGCGACACCAGGTTTGAATTAAAAATCCACCATAACAAAGTTCAAAACAACAAAAATAATTTTTAAGCAATAATTTTGCAATGGCATTATGGTGAAATAGCCAAGCTTGAATCAGGTTAAAATACATACAAAATCAGTGAAATTTTGGTTTTTATTAATTAACTTTTATTGTCAAAATTAGTAAAAATTGTATGTAGGTGGAAAGTATAATATTATAATGAAATACTCAAAATCAACAATAAGGTAACCTAAACACTTATTTTTACAAACACATTTGTATCTGACTAAGAAGGAATTACTTAGAACCAAAAGAATTCCAATTTAGGGAGGATTCCGTTTTATTCAATTTTGACTGCAGGTTTCCTTTTTTATTCATTCTTGAGAGGTAGGCAATTGTGTAAATGTTTGGAAAATTGCCCATCTCAGAAAACGGATGGCAGTAATAATGTAAATGCCAATGCAATGTTTGAGTTGACAAGTTGCGGAATAAAAATTGCCCTTGAACTTGCCAGAAAAATTTCAATATTGACTAGTTAATTTAAATTAAGTCACCACTAAAAAGTTGCATGTAGGTAATACCTACATTACTCAAGTTGTGAAAATTGCATATTTTTTGTATAAAATAGTTTTTACATCAATTTCATTGAAATGTTAAGGAAAAAGTTTAAGCAAAGTTAATAAAATTAATACTTCTTCTGAATTTAATAATGAAAACTGATTAGAAATGTCTAAATAACAACTATGATTCAACTCATTCCAAACTAAAAGAATATTTTTTAAACAGCTTCCATCACTACCAAGGAATAACAAGTTTTTACAACTCAATATTTTCGTACGAATTTTCAACAGAAAGTCACATAAAAAAAGTCTCATTCCAACAAAAGATAACTTTTTTACTTTTCACTATGACTGGCATTCAGACTTTTGAGTTAGAATTCTGATGAAACATCTGGTTAACAAAGTTAGGTTGATTGATTGAAATTTTCCAAATACATTAACTGCTATGTTATAGTGAATATTTGATCCGTGGAGGTGGCAGTGATTCCTACTGCCACATCCTCCAGGATGGTGAGGTCCAGCACTTCCTTACAAGGCAGCTTGCAAAGAATCTCCATCCCCCCTCCCCAGGTATCTTCCCATTAGGGCATTGCACCAGCCAGCACATATTCTAAGCTCTTGACTGTTTTTCCAACATGTGTGGTAGTGTAGTGTTTGTGCAAGTAAGGGGAGAAGATAGCATAACGAAGAAGAAATGACAATGCGTGGATCATGACTTATTTGTCAGGGGACTTCTCTCATACTCTGCATTCATTTGGTATTGATTGAGTAAAACAAGAAAATCAAAATCAGACAGCAGCTGAATTTGATCTAGATATGTAGCTAATCTCGAAAATCAGTTACTTTCAGGTCTTCAAAGACAAAGGTTTTTCGTGTTATTGTTCTTTGATATTTCTTTATTGACTCTTCTTATAGATACAGCTATTTTGTTCAATTTAAATCTTCAAAAAATTTCCACTGATTAATGTCTGAATTAATTAGTTATATTTTCCCTTTATAGCAAAAAAATGTACATAAATATTATAGAAATATATGTGGTGAAGACTCCATTTTTTAGCAGTGCCACAGACTGTTAATCTGGCTAAGCCAGCTCATCCATGGAAAACTACTGAACTGTCATTATTTCAACATCACATAATTTAAAAAAAGTTAATTTCCCTTGAAATTTACACTCCAAAATGTATGTATTTATTTTGCATCTTTGAGATATACATATACACCTGCTAAATTAATGGTTTAAATAATGAATAAATAGATGAAAACAATAATGAAAAGAAAAGACAAACTACTGGACAAAATGTAGTGGTTTTAAAACTTCTGCTACCTTTCTAGACATGATATTACAGATTGGGCTTCAGCAAAAAATTATGTTTTTGAGGATAAATTAAAAAGTTTCAAGAAGTGAAAAGAAAACTAAAAAATGGCAATGATATAGCCAACCCTTATAGAAAATAAGGATTTAAAATGGTTGAAATCTTAAAACAGGCAGGCTTAAATTTTAGGACAAAAAAGGTTATTCTATTACTTAAAGATAAATTTTTTATTAAAAAATGCAGATTCAATTGCATTTCAGATAATATGACTTTCCTTGGATCCTCCTTGCAGTATGAATTAATACTAGTTCACTGTTATATGTATAAAATAAATTACTTTCTAGCTAGATCTGCAGACATTTTAAAAATGAGAACACAAACATAGAGAACAAGAAATAAAAAGTTTCATATTTTGAATAGTTCAACTACATCATGCCTCACCACATTCAATTCAGGACTCATAATAAAAGCAACATGCAAAGATCGCATGCTAGTCAAACAAAGACGGATACATGCACAAACAAAGCTAGATATGCCATCAAAAAACACTAAGTATTTCATTTTTCTTAAGATTTAATCTTATCCCAATGTGTTTGAAAGATTTATATGTTTAATTTTAATAGATAAAATTCACACAGACTTGTACTCTCATTTTCAGTTCACATTCTTTCTCAAACTACTGTTAAAAGAATACACATATGGTTTAGAAACCTATGCTACTTTTCTAGACATGATATTACAGGTTGGGGTTCAGAGGAAATCACGATTTGGAGGATAATTAAAATGTTTCAAAAATGGAAAAATGGAAAGAAAACTATAGAATAGTAATGATGTATCTAAAGCATATAGAAAAAAAAGGATTCAAAGTGGTTGATGTATTACAAGCCGGCAATATCTGAGACAACAAATTTTTTGAAACAAAAAGTTAATTAAATCCTTAAATTTATATTTATTATTTTAAAGAATTTTGGATTCATTGCGTTTCAGATACATCAATTTTCTTTCGAGTTTTTAGCTTCCTTAGTTTGAGTTCTTCCTTTTTGAGTTCTTAGCTGCCTTATGAGTGCATGTTCAGTGATATATAGATTTTTCATGACTTCGAGAAAAAGAAAACTCATCAAAAAACACTGTATGAATTTTTTGCACGATTGCCCCACATGAAGATGGGCATCTCCTCTTCTTATGAAACAGAATTGATCTTATCTCGTCTCTGCAGCCCACAAAATTTTCTGTCTTCTGACGTATTGATATACTATGAATTTCACATTACTACTGTATTGGAAAACAACTGTCCCTGAATTTTGAACATACACTTTTTATTATTGTATTAGTATAATTATTATTATTGTTATTGTTATTTTTTATTTATTTAATTCTGAGGGAATCTTGGAAAGTCAATACTAAAACAACACAACACAACTTTGAAAATAAGCAAATACCTTGCTATGAGCTAAGCTTATGCATTGTGTCAAAAGAATAGAAATATGAGAAGGAATCTCAAAAAATCTGATAACCCACAAAGAAACTTCTTGAAGAAGTAAGCTAGTTAAACTTTAATTTTCAGAGGTTTAAGTAGGTTACATAAAAATGACAACTGAAGGTTGCCTATAAATAATCATCTTAAATGGAAATCTTAAGAGTGTCACACCACCTGGACAAAAGATGGTAAGAGCCAAAATATAAAGCATCACTAAAACTTCAATTTTGGATGTGATCATTTATGCCCCAGCACTTCTTATATTGCAATACACTGAGGCAACATTTCACAAATAATTTTTTACAAATAATTGGAATCGCAACAAATACATCCTTAGCTATTGTAGATAACAATATTATCATTTATAAAGTAAATGAATTTCATTCTTATATTTCTGCAAGAATTTGTACACAAATCATAATTGCTGAATAGAACCATTAAGTGCTTCTCTCTTGTTTTATTTTCATATTTTAAATCAGAGAGTTACATCACTTGATTTATTTACAAAAAGCTGTGCATCCAGAAATTCAAACCATGCTATACTACTTTGGCCAATTTTAATTTTTACGAGGTAAAGGATTATTGAAAATGACTACAACTATTAAATGAAGGATTAAAGGATAACAGATATGGAGAATTGAGAACCTTTCAGAATAGAAACTTGGGAGAACTTTGGATTTTCCCAACATTGATTATAAACTGCTCACCTCTGAATGCTGATGGTTGTGGCAACGTACACTCCGGTTGACACAATCCTAGTCGCAAACGAGAAGCTGGGCTCAGCAAGGCCTCAACATCAGCTCCTGCTTCGAGCACCTCATAAGCACGGTTCAAATTGAGAGGAGTTGCTTTCACGATGCGAGGCTCCACCACCTGACCATCTGCAAACAGTGCTCCTCCTATGAGCATACAGGTTCATCAAAACAAATAAATAAAAGAAGACTGGCACAAAATACAACACAACTGAAACAGTTGAAAATATAAAACATACACAGGAAAAAAAAACCTGAAACAAGATTACAAACTCATATTTCAGTATTAACACTATGTATTGTTGCATTTTAACAGTGCATTAAAAAATAAAGCACACCAACAGAAACGAAAAATAAATTATTTTGGATCACAATTTCAATCAAGGCAGCCATTGAAGAAAAACATCGAATTTTAAGAAATATCTTTACCTACAATACAATTCATTGCACATTTTTAGTGACTTTTATACTGAAGTAAACACCAATTTGCTTACTTGTAGATAAGCACTGTGCCATTAAATATAATTCGAACAACATGTGCCCATATTATTACTATACTACTCCTATTATGGAGATAAAAGCCAACACAGAAAATATTATAATTTTGATAATATTTTCAAAAGAAAATATATCATTTTTAAAACAATTTGTTTAAAAGTATATCAAATTCTTTGTGTTTGACAAGAGATAAACTAAGACCTCAAATTTCATTCCATATTGTTGAGAAAAGATGAGCATTGAAGAGTGACTAGACTTGGATGGAAGACCATTTAGCATATAATACAAGAAAGGAATACTTAACATAACAATGCATCATTCTAAATTGCAAAATAATCTCAATTCGAGGAGGAAACATGACCCACCTACACATATATGTCTTTCAGAAATATTGCTGTTTGTGAAACCCAAGAATATTCTTTAAATCCACAATCTGATATAAGATACATTGTGATATGTTAAAATTATCAATTACTATGTTGCTACTGATTTGGGCTATACACATACACATGTATAATGTTGCCTGTTCATTACTTAAATAGTAAATAAATGTTCAAAAATTAATAAGGTCATTGTTCTTTCTTCATTAATAATAAAAAAGTACATGTTTTAATGCTCTAAGGACAGTAGGTCTACAGAAAAAAATGTCTAATAAAAATGTTAGCAATATTAAGTCTATTGATTAGATGTCCACAGCTAAAAAGTCTACCAACAAAAATGTCTACTAACTACAATGAAACTCTGTTTATACGTTTCTCACTTATACATTGTGTTTGGTAGGTCCCAGATAAATTCCTATAATTCCCATGCTAAATTATTTCAGTTATGCGTTTTACGTTTTTCACACTTAAAAGTTCATAACAAAAGTCCCTTTAAAATGATCCCGGTGAGGCGCGGGCGACCTGCGCCTAGAGCCCGAAACTTTTATTCTAATCAAGTCGGTACGCGGAGCATCCCGTCGCTCACCCTCTGAGGCGGCTTCCCGCTAGTGAAACTCGTAATTTAGAAGCTCAACTCAGCCTAGCTCAGGGGCCGAGACCGCGCGAGCCCTCAGGGTGGTAGGGCAAAGTCGGCTCCCGGGCACCTGCGGAGTGGAGCGTCGAACATTTCCAGAGGATTTCTCGAGGATCCCAGGAGGTGACGGCTGCTCTGAGGGAAGGTCAAAGGCGTCCCGCGGAGAGAGTAAGGACGTAATGACCCATGAGTGAAGTTTGTTCCACTCTCCCGAAGGGGCCCTTTTGCTCGCCGCAATTTATATGAGATTTCTTTCGCAGCCCATGCGCAAAGCAGCTAATTGAATTGATCGCTTTTCGCGCGGCACAGCGGGTGTCCGCAGGGCCGGGCGCCTCCTGTCGCCCACCGTGGAAGAACCCGTGCTTGAGCCACGGAACCTCAAGAGACATCAAGCCTGAAATCGAAGCAACCAGCCGCGGTCGCCGCCGCGAGTTGTAGCCCACGCAGGACACGACCTTCGCAGTGAAACTGAGCCGCCAAAGGTCATCAGGTAAGGTCCATTGCGTGTCCGCTACCTTCACCTCAGGGGAGACTTCTTCGATGATGACCTTCGGCCGACGATATTTTTCCCAAGCTGACCAGAGTTGTAATTTGTGGTTCTGAGACTCTTGTGTTTAAATCGAAGTATTGTCTTGTACCTGGTTTGCGTTCGCGATATTAAACGAAAAAGAGTGGTAGAAAAAGGCAACCCCCTTTCACTATCAGATAAAATAAAATTTTTAAACGTCGTTAGGGAGAGTGGGAATAAAAAGGCAGGTATTGCTAAAGAACAGGGAAAACGATGGTGTAAAAATATTGAGTATTTATATGATATCTTTATATGTAGCTATAATAGACATATTTGCAATATTCAGTTTTGCATCACACCTTTGTCTGTACACTTTTGGCAATAGATATTTCTGCATCTAGACATACTTGCATTAGACATTTTTCATGTAGACTAGCGTGATGCGTAGACATTTATTATGTAGAGCTTTCAGAGGAGAGCAAGTGTAATTAGACCTCAAATATTAGACATTATTTACATAAACATTATTACTGTAGACCACCTGACCACAACCATTTTTTAATATTAATTTAATTTAAGATTATATTTTAATAAGCATACAATATTGAAACTAAATTATGGAAATTAAGTCATGGGTATTTGGTACTTCATGACTTACCCGGGAGACGCTTAGGTGGGGTCCGGGGCACAACTTTGATTGGTTTAAAATGTAACATTTCTTGAGTAATGGAGTCTTGACTTCCTGTGCTCAAATTACTGCTGCTACGTGCTTGATCACTACTACACCCTGCAACAAATATTACAGAAAAAATGTCATAAAAAGTATTTACAACATGTACATGAGTGGCATTCACAAAAGAGTAACAAAGCCAAAACTCACTAACAAAAATAAAGTGATGATGATCTGAATAAATTCAATTATATAAATTGATCTATTTAAAATTTCTGAATATGAGCAATTGCCTCTGCTTCAGAATTAAATGAATTATACACACTCAAAGTATTTTATTAATACTTATACATATTTACCACAAAAATGATAAAATACAAAAATAATTTAAAACCCAAATGTAGTTTCATTTCATCACAAATGATATCTTTATTCCAAGACTTGCGAATTTTGGGTAAAGTTCAGTAATACATTTTTTCACACAATCTTTACAAATAAACAATGAAAATGATTTGCATTCTATTATTTTTTTGAATGTTTCACTGAATACTTTGCGATCCAAATTTCTTAGACTAATTTCACTGTCTACTTGGTTTTCTTTCTTGGAATTTCTGCTTCCTGTGTTTGTTTTGAAAACAAATAGTGTGCTATTTGAGATATCAATTTTCTTGACAGTCCTGTTAGTATTGATCTCAGAACACACCAAAGGTGAATATGAAGTAAACATACATCTGCAATTCTTATCTCCAGAGATTTCTAAATATATCAGTCATGTAATATCATCCTGAAAGTTGAATGTGGCTACTTGGATCGTCTAGGAAATGGAGATTATCGCTCTGTGGGAGGTCTCTGTGGGAGATGCACCAGGTTCTGCTTGTCTTGTTCTGCCACGTAGGTCTAACATACATGGGTAAATGGAAGCTTTGCAGCTCTAGAAATATCTGTGAGATCAAATAAATTTTTGAGAATCAACAGACAGCATGCAATGAAAAGATCAATGTATTTTGTAGATAAAAGATTATGGGAAAAGTATTGAAAATCATAAGAGTATACAGCTTTATCAAACTAAACTGTACAAGAAATACTAAGGCCTGAGATCCAAATTCTCCCACATGACCACTCCTGGATTAAGTAGTAATTAGACTATTAAATCTCCCTGGTCACTAAGACCCATTAACATGAATTACACTACAAATGGTATTCACCATCACAAATGCTCTGAATTTATCTGGAATATTCCACACACATATTGTATTTACCAAGGCAAAAAATAGTGAAAAATGTAACTTGATTTCAACAATAGATACATTACAGCTCAAGTCTAAAATATGGCTAATTTGCCAATTAGCCAGTTAATTCAGACATTAGCCACTCAGTTCAGAAAAAGAATGAGTGACAGTGAACAGACCATTTCAAACCTGGCTAATTTGCAAAATACCAAAGAATTTCAGGTGAAGTAAGATGATTGAATGTGAGGCAGCAAATGTATTCACAAGATGTACTTTTCAATAAAAACGCATCGAATCTGTGTATCTGTTGCGCAAAAGTGTGGTTGTTTTAGAAAATCCCAAATACTGGAACCTTGTCACCCCATCTCGGAGATGCATAGCGAAATGTCAACAGTGGTGTATAGTGAGATCGGGTTACGTTGGTATTGTGTACATGTTGGTACTTGCCTCTCACTAGCCTTAGAAACATTCCACCAACAATATGATTCCTGTTTATCACATATCTGCTATTTATCATCATTATAACACACTTCACCTACCTTAGCCACCTTTGCTAGTGTTTTTCATCTGGCCAAAGAACAAAATAGCTTTCAAGCTGTTACTAATTTGGAGTGTTTGGATAATGTAACATTCTTGAACTGTCCAGATTCATACATTAGTCATACCATACACATTACTCATTACCTTTACCAACTAGTAATGTAACGAAAGGAGTGCTGGCCCAGCTACAAAACTTTTTCTACATAGCAAAAACAAGAAGTGTTAGTCCCTTAAATAATAAAAATACCCCCTAAAAATAGGCCCCGTTTTACCTGGGCCCGCCACTCAAATTGCGTGTTTCATCACCCATGTAATACCACCTTTCTTCACTACACAGTGAAAGGAGCGTAGCAAAATATTTGTGAGACAGAAGAGTGGGCTATCCGGCCAGTTTCACCATGTAAACTAAGGCACTAACTAACTGACAGCATCAAACAGAGGCCTTCCCCACCCATTTTGCTTCTGCACTTGTCTGGTGAAAGTATAGAAGACAGAGAAATTGTGGTTTGATGAACATGGCCCACAGAATTGACTGAAATACAACAAAATCAAAAGCAAGGCTTTGCAAAAACTGTTTTAAAATTCTCTCAAAACAAATCAATCGGTTAATTTAAAGCAAATACTGCATGTTAAATGAAAATAGCAATGGTGCTATAAATTGGCACATAATTTCCTTGATCTGGCAAGTGTAAGTGTGCTGAATTTCTTCTTTGATCACAGCATTTCTCCATTTACAGATCATTCTTGGTGCTTCATACATTAATGAAGTATGTGATAACATTGCTACACTGCTGTATTTCGATTGCTGCCTTTTAAGTGGCAATAAATAGCTTTGATATACACTGATGTGTGTATGGCATGTCAGATTGTTTTCAAAATAATCATATAAAAAGCAAGTATTGTGAATAGAAATAAATGTTTTCTTTCTTATTTCATTAGATACTAATGTAATTGTAATATTGGAACCTGAACAAATCTAAGAATTCAGTACGAAATAGTATCCTGCTAACATGTTTTATTTTGTATATGGATGTATTGTTTTGAAAATACATGAAACATACGAGTCTAAATCAGGAATACATTCAAAAACATTCCAACCAGTGACGAAGCTTGCGACTGTGGGGATGAGGTGAATGTGTCATTGAAATTTGGACTTCTACCTTACTTGAAGGTTCACTTTGATCAGTTAGAAAAAATACTGAAGGAAAAAAATTGGAGCAGTATTTGAGAAAATGTCCTAAGAGCATCGTATAAAGTACTCCCTAAAAATTAGAACATCATCATCATCATGAATTGACCAGAAATTAGGCTTTACAGCCTATTTCTATTGATTCATTTCAGTATTGTTGGTAGATCACTTGTGTTCCAAGAGTTCCTCCTGTGGCCATATCTTTACTGGTCTGCTTATGTCTCTGATCCCTCTTGGTTTATACTTCCAAATTAATTTTGTCCAACTGTTGTTCATTCTCTGTAAATCATCTTTCCATCTCCTTTGAGACTGCTCTTTCTCTTCTAATAAACTAAAGTTAAAAAGATCCATTTGAAATTTGCAGTATGATTGTTCAGTTAGATTGATTAGGGGGGGGATCCATTTTAGAAAATGTTTAAGAGTATTTCTGTCCAAATAATGACACGTTTGTGGTTTTTTTGCAGCTTTATAACTTTCTCTGTGCGTAAGAAACTAAAAACACACCTGGAGTATCTGATGGGCAATTTATTTCCACCACAGACTTTTTATGAAAGGATCCTGTAGCAAAAAAGAAGTCCAAAGGTCCTTTCTTAACTTCCACTTCCGATGAAGGGCCTTGACGTTGCTGTTGTATATGAGGTGCTGGCCGAAGTTGAGTTGCTTTCTGCTGCTGGGGTGGCACTTGTTCAGGAGTACTTTGTGATGCATTGCTGGAGCTCTGAAAAAATTAAATTAAAATTCAAACATAATTATTTTCATAATAATCTACAAATGAAGGACTAAGTAAAGAGTATTTTTAAACCTCACACTCAAAATTAAATTTCAACAATTTTTATAATTTGGTTCACCAACATAATGACATAAGTTCATGAATTTTAATAAAGGTTCACAACAGATGACTTTACAAACATTATAGCCATGTTGTAAGCAAACAATATCTATGGAAAACCTCAGTTTTCTGGAAGATCATACATTTTGAGATATTTGCAGAAGTAAGCCATGGCAAAATCTAATAATTTATTTCAGAACAAGCATAAAATGTGTTGGGGATGGGGAAAACCGTTAATTTTCTTTTATAACAAAAAATGCCTCAATAAATTTAATTTTATCATTCATTAGAAATTGTAAAATTCATAGTTTTAAAGGTTCCTCTTTTCAGAAATAAATGTATGGTGTTGAAAATACATCAAATGTACTGACGTAACTCATGATTTTAAGCCTCAAGGTCAGTGGGTTACTGCATCGTTCTTTCTAACATTCGTACATTACCCTTACTAGCTTTGCATAACAAAAAAGTGTGTAATTCATTTAAGTTTGAGAAGATGAAAGGAAGAAGAAAGAAGTTCAGGGAAGGCACCACAGCTATAAGATTTTCAATCTGTTCAAAGTTCTTGACATTTCAATAATTACATCTAATCATGTAATGAAGTTTTAAAATATCATGAAAAATCATGCGATTGTTTTTTTTCTTTCAAATATGTCAGACTAAGTGAAACTAGTCTTCGAACAAGAAAAAAATTCATTCAGAAAAGGCTAATTAGTCTCCAAGTCTATGCTCAAAACTGTCATCATATAATTAAGAAGAAAAAGAAGAAAGAAAAGAATAAAAAGAGAAAAAGGTAAGAAAAAGGAATAATAATTTTTAAAAATGTATTTATTTTTCAAATGTTTGTATTTTCTAATGGTGTTTGTTTAGAGAACCTGTCTTTTAAACAAACACCATTAGATCTCAATGCTTAATGTGTTCATTAAAATTGGCACTTAGCATTGCTAATGAAGTAGACAACATGTGTTTTATTAAAACAAATCATTTAAGTATACCACAGCAAGCCATCTATTTTTGCAATAATATTTTTCCTAAATATTGTTAAGATAGTACTAAGAAATAATTTCCGCAAGTCTTAAGTTATTTTTCTATAGTTTTCAAGTCTGAAGCATTGATTCATTCATTTACAAAAAGAATAGTGAAAAGGCTGGACAGAGAGGATAACTGATGTTATTTATGTCACATGAAATTACACACACCACAAAAATTATGAATAGTAGAAACTGTGAAACCAAAATTAGGTTATACAAATTGCTCTTAGCATACAATAATATATCGAAATTAATAAAGGTAAAAGAAAGAACTATTATCCAAAATCAAGAGTGCACATTATATTTTACAACAATTCAAAAAATAATGATAATTGTAATTATACAAAGTACCACCAATTACCTAATTCACAAAGACTTTTCAAAACAAATAAAGTGCAAACCAAACATAAAAACATTAATAAATTGCGCAAGCAAACAATTCAAACCTTTTGTAAAAAATCAAAACAATATTAATTAAATGTTCAAAAGATGAAATAAAATTAAAAACCCATATTATTGGTATCTCAAAATTTAGGAAACATATCATTTTCTTCCTGCTGTATCCTTCATATTTTTTCTACAGCACTCTGCATAAAACTTTTCACAAATTTAAAGTAATGCATCTTCAAGATAATCACAAAGAAGCGAAATAAAAAATCAAAGTTGTATAAATGTGGTGCCAGGAAGGTACTGAAAAGGTAATGTATGATCCTCAAGCATTATATGCAGAGAAACAAATGGCACTATACGCAAACAAATTCAACAAAACTGTGCTGGTAACTGTGCCCTCAAATAGATGCTATAAGAATACAAGTAAACTTACAAAGAAAAGAAATTTGCAAAATCTTTGCTTCTATTTATTTTCTCAGGCCCTAAAGCCAAACCAGGAGGAATAGTAAATTGCAGGACGAGTAGTTACATCCACTTTTCAAAATTAATAGCAAGGTGAAAAGCACCAGCTATGATAAAACAAAGAAAAATATGGATCAGAAAATTAGATGGCACTCACATCAGGGAGTTCTCATCTTCCCTCTACTGCATTTACTGAGAATATAATTTCACTAACCTAATTTTAGTTTACACTCTGCTATGCATGAAATTTCAATATTTGCATGGAGAAATTAAATTGTTAGCAAGCACCGATTCAAGTATTTTGCTTTTAAAATATTTACATCAGAACAATTTTAGATAACTATTGTTATTATAGTGATTTTTCTTTCATTATTTTACTATGTGCTTTTCCCCCTCAGTTATATTTATTTAAATGCTGGGATGAGAATTGTTAGCTTCAGTACATGTGAGTATTTGCATCAAACACATTTTGCATGCTATCACCAAAAAGTTATACAATAAAGAAGCCAAAAATAAATTTTTGCTATCTGAAGAGTCCTGAGCATTTGAATGGCCATGACTGATACCATTCATGTGAAGGGAAAAGCGATATGGCTGTGAACAATGAATGTCCAACCAGTAAACAAACCAAGAGGAAAATCTCAAAATAGTTAATAGCAAGGAATTAAGAGGGGTAATGGTATACAAGTTTTGGAGGAGATGACTGATGTAATAAACGAAAATAACGTATGGAAGATGATAACAGAATTTACATCCTATTTATCATGGCATCATCATAAACATAGTAAGAACAATACGTTTTATATAATTTGCTTTTTGGTCATACTCATACATTGTGTTCCACAAAAACTTAAGTTTTGAATTGTAAGTTATTAGAATGAAATGCTTATAGAAAAAAGAACTTAAAGAGTCGTTAGAGGGAAAAATTCTCATTATATTTGCAATGTGACATATCAATTGAAAGGCCAATGTTTATTCTGAAATGTAACAAATAATTCTTAGGACCACTAACTTTCATTTGCAGAATACAGAATACTTCAGATCTGGGCTGAAACATGCGACAATACTGCAAAGATTAATATTAGTTTGAAAATTATTTTTAACATGCATGAAACATTAAACATCTGCATAAAATTGTAAACAATATTGAAAAATTCAGATGCAACACACAGAATTTGAAAATCAATGATACCGAACCACAAATAAACTATTCACAGTTGCTGGCAAACTGGACGAGAATCAACTGATTACACTTTTGAAATGTATTTTAGAATTTAAAAAATTAAAAGAACTCAAAATAAACTTTAAATTTCCTTATTTAATACACAACTATTCTGATATTTGGCAACTATAGTGGTATTTGAATTTCAAACTCTTATCAACTAATGAGACGTTTGTTATAGTAACAATATAAACAAATGGCTTTAACATTTTTCAGTTGTTCACCGAGACATCAACTCAAATTATTTTAATTAAAAGACACTCTTTATTATAATGATAAAATACTATTCAATGCAACAAACATTTGGAAAACTTAGCAGGGTAAAAAAGCAATAATGGGCAATAATATTATTGAAAAGCCTTAGAAATACCTTTCAGTTTCTAATCATTTTCCCCAAAAAGTGTTTTCATAAAAACTTTTCAAGAGAAAAATGCTTAAATTTCTAAGTGATTACACAAAAAGAAAGCAAATATTTACATTTCTTCTCAAACACGTAAAAAGAAATAGATTTAATTCACAGAGTGCAATTTACATGTATACCAGAACACATGAATCTTACCTGCATCATTGTCTCCTGAAGCTCTCGTGCCACTTGCTCATCATGGTGAACTTGATTTTGCTGCCTTTCTTTTTCCCTCTGCTCTTCTTCCTTGAAACCAAAAGACATTTTGCAATTTGACATTAGTTCAGAGAGAATATTTCTATTCTGTATAACAAAATCTTCAATGTACTACAATGTGATGACAGTGATTGTCTTATATACTATTAATTTCAAAGGTTCCCATTATTTAAGACGATCAAAATACGAGTTTATTTCTCATCAGTGAGTTAATCCTTTTCATTTTTCAAATTATGTGCCTCAAAACGTTGCCTATACAAGAAGCGATGGTATAGACAAAAATAAACTATTCTCTTTAGATTGTCTCAAATAATAGGAAGAATTGATGTTATAAAATCTTTATTCACATAAAATAGTCGTGAATACATTCATTAAGGTATATTTAAAGAAAGGGAGGTGCAAGCCCTCGAAATCGTAAGTACAAATACAAATCTTAACACCTTTTTTTTTTGTTTACACAACGTATTTTGAAGAGAAACATGTTTCAATAAAACACTTACACACAACTTCTGTATCAGATTACAACTTGCTCTCCATTCTTCTTCTTGCCTACGTTCAGCCTCTTTCTGCAACTGGTGTAACTGATATGCAAATTCTTGACCAATCTCACCTGGTGTGCTGAGACGAACTTGGGGTGTACTGTTAGAAACAACACCTGCAAAAAAGAAAAAGGATATTAATAGAGAGATTTGTTGTAAAATAATATTAACATAACCAATATCTATTCCGAGACAAACCACAATTTCTGAAAATAAATATTTGTAAGTTATAATTTATATATCTTTTTTTTTTTTTTTTCATTTTGAGGAGCAACACCAAAGTTTTGAAACAGTAATTTCATACGAAAATCATTTTCATATACACATAAAATATAGTGTAGGTAACAAATGAAGAAATAAATAAATCTTGTACCGCAAATTAGTGATTAACTTTAGTCCTTTACTGCACAATACAAAATTACATAAACACTGACAACATACATAGCCTACTGATGTCAACATTATGTATATAACGACTTCATTATTTTTATTTCATAATTATATACCAACGTAAAATACTAACTCCAAAGAAAATCTTATTTACATTCTACAACACGCATGAAAGACCGCCAAAACATCTGCTTCGACAAACCCGATCGGTATTTTCGTCAATAGTAAACATTGATTTCTTTAAAATCTGCAAGTATGTTTGAAGATAGAGGTTTTTTACGAACAAGGCATTCATGCAATATCTCAACGATCGGCATTCACTCTCCTTCATGTTCTAATGGTATTAAGAAAGACTATTCTTCGGATAAATACCTGCGACAATGGCAATGTTAACGATTCTTACTTTGACGAGTGCACTAAATGATTCGTGCAAGTCCTATTAATGTATATTTGCATGTGTAAGCAACAAAACAGGTAGCTGGAGAAGCCGGATACTACTCCGCGGAGACCGCACCAAGTCCTTCAATGAAAATGACACTACTCCGCGGAAGTCTCGTACGAGGGTTTAGGTTATAGAAGGAGACAGCGACATGCATAGTACGTACGTTCCTCCACGCCGTCATCATCGCCATTCATCTTCGCTTGCACCTCATCTGGAAATCGTTGTTGTATCAGGGCCCACAATTTAATATTCACCAAATTTCCGTCCTTTGTAGCCGTTCTTAACCAACCACCAACCCTTTTCCGACACATTGGGCACGCCAAACTTGACTCTTCCATAGAACGTTCGAAACATTTCAAACACAATCCGTGTTGACACGGTAGAGTCACAGGTTCTATAAAAATTCCTCTACACACGGGGCACATGACATCCACCAACGTTATGCTATTTGACATCCTGGGGAGACGGTGGAACCTCTTGCTGTTCAAACATGTCGCCATTTTCAGCGCGAAACTGAAAACACAACCCCCCTGAAACTCCGCTCCGGCACGATTGCAGGAACGTCCGAGGCTGACAGCTTCGCCAGACGACCTTCAGTTGTTCAAACCTGTCTGCCATTAGTGATAGTTTAAATCGTTGCCACAAGATGGCAGGAGAACACAGGCAAGGTACTCAGCAGGCATCTTCTTGAGGTTAGAGAACCGCGCTTTTGCAGGGACGTTAAAAACTAGAAATAGTCATCTTTACAATTTGTATAAATATTTGATCCACAATGTCGAAAAATAGATTTAAAAAATTATGTAGAATAATTTGAGTATATCTATGTTAGATATCATCACATGCGTAGGCAATCGATTTCTTAAGAATCAGTGCGGCTGACACTCGTGAGAAGCTTGTAACAAGATTAAACATATTTAATAAATTACCAAGAAATGATTATTTTAATATATTAATAATAAATTTTCAAAAATAATTTTAAATACAATTCTCCTTAAGTGTCTATTTTCGCGCCTTTCTGTTTGATTGATATGCAACCCACCGAACACATCAGAGAACGTAGATGCCTATCCAGAAGGAGTGAATGGCCTCCGTCATTCTTTGCACCGAATGAAAGCGGGGGAACAAGGAAAGTGAAAATATACACGTATAGATAGGGTGACAGTCCGTTCTGGGCGTTTCTTTTGAGTTCACAGCAACAAGTCGATATGGACTAGTGCCTTTCCATCACGGCGCCGATTCTCTTCTCCTTCTCTTTGCCCACCTTCTACTCCTACTTCCCCGTCCCCTCCCCCTCCCTATCGTTAGCCCCCCACCTCGCACACAGACACATTCCCCTGCAAGCGCGCTCACATACACACTCTCGCACATACATCACCACCACCACGAGGGCGGAGGGCGCCAGATAAAGTTAGACGGAGAAGGCATGCAGGCAGGCAGGCCAGGCGTTCGACCACGCCACGGACAACGTGACCGCACGGCCCACGTGACTGCGGCACCCAATGGGGGACGAGGTGACGCACTCAGTCACGTTGCAGGCGGTGTGCGAGCGCCGGCGCCCGCCCCGCACCCGCTGCCATTATCCTGAGTCGAGCAGTAGGAGGTGCACGGAGTGGCCCTAGCGCTTCCGCCGTCGCCGCCCCCATCCGCAACCCTTGCCGTCGCAGCCACCCCCAGCCACCTTCCGCAGGGATACGAGCGTGGAGGGCTGTAGAGACACCGCCGCTGCCGCTGACTGCTCAGGAGCAGCGATGCCCGCCCGCCCGCTGAGATCAACCGTCGCCGTGCCTTGCCCAGGGTGAGGAGGATCGTTCTAAAAGCGGAGTCGTCGCCTGCTGTCGGTGCTAGTGCTCGTGTGTGTGTTTGTTCGAGTGCGTTTGAGGGCGGAGGAAGTATGACGGACGTGTATCAGCAACTGCCGCTCGCCGCAGCGCGCGGGGCAGGGGGCCCGCCGGGGTACGGCGCGCCACCCGCCAAGCACACTGTGCATTGGTTCCGCAAGGGGCTTCGTCTGCACGACAACCCCAGCCTTCGGGAGGGGCTCAAGGGAGCCTCCACCTTCCGATGCATTTTCATCCTGGACCCGTGGTTTGCGGGTTCTTCCAACGTCGGCATCAACAAATGGAGGTAGGACATGACATTCTTCTCGGCAGGAACTTTCACGCCCCGGACGTGTGGACATCCTGACGTTTGTTCTCATGACACTATTTGATATGCATCTGACAGAAACTTGACTACAGTTCTCGAGGAATTATAGCTATAGTATTATCTGCGTATAAATTACACGGCGCTATGTTCGTGTAAACTAGCGTACTACTCAGTGCAACGTTCGATAATCATTACCATTTTCGAATTGTAGTGCTTTTCGAGTTTCATGCGGACATTAATAGTGGTATCGTCAGGCTACGACAAGCTGTCATCCACGTGTCCCTTATTCAATGGTATGAGTGCTGTCATATGTACAACAATTTATTAAAGTTTTAGTACAACAGAGGAACACGGAACTCCTCATGCCCCTCTCATTGCGTCACAACGTCACGTCACCACTCTGCGTCATGCTGTTTGCGACTACCGTTCCGAGCATTTTCTCTTCGCGTTCTGTGAATGACTCGTATAGAGGGCTCAAAAAAATGTTGATGATATTTAAGATGATCTAGTCTCGATATACGATAGCCGTCGTCTAGAAAGTTGAACGTGGTTGGGAAGGAGGTCGCATAACGTTGATGTTGGCACAGACTGCTATTTCGTTAATCTCGTAGTGCAGTCGGTATGTTTATGATAAGTGTACCTACTCATTTTTGTAATTGTTTTTTTAAATTTTGTATCTTAATTTACTTTTAGAAATTAAACATTTATGCCGATTGTAACTGATCTAAAGCGTGACGGTTCTACAAATTAAAGTCACATCTAATTTGTAAAAATGTTTGGTCGATCCACAAAAAACACCTTTGTAGTGTTTACCCACAGCCTATAGACTGTGGCGTAGGTCGAATTGATGTCACCCGCACCCACTTGAACATAAACAATTTCTATTATAGAAATTTCTGTAAATATTTTTAAAAAAATGTTTCTATCCATGTTTAAATCATTTCTTAATTATAATAAGGAAAAATTATATACATATGGAAAATGTTAATCTCACGAAAATATTCTATTTATATATAAATTATATATAGTATATTTTACTATATATAATTTATACTAAATATTATATATATATATATATATATATATATAATATATATATATAATTATATATATTAATTATTGCGATTAAGACATTTCAATCGCTTTTCATATTAACTGTAAATCATTAGAGAAAATAAATTATAAAATCATACCAATTTAAAATTTAAACATAGTTTAAAATTAAACATTTCAAATGGCGTGAGCCCCAAAATTGTGTCGCCCAGGCGGACTGTGCCCCCCCCCCACCACACACACACACACCTGTCTTTTTATGGATTATGGTTTCAAGCTACACCCTGCCGATGTGAGTGCACTTATACCTCAATTTTACAGACTCAAAGAGAAGATCATTTGTCCGATGAAGCTCTTAATAGCTTAGTAGATACCGGCGTTAAGGCTTCAGATTTTAGACTGGCTAACTGCAACAATTACAGTGCGATAGATAATGGAACGAATACAGTATTTTTAATAAGATCATATGCAATCTGACAGTGCATGTGCACCATGAATACATTATATCACCAATAGTTGCAGTTCCATGGAGTAGGCAAGGTACGCAATGTCTCCTGATAAACATGAACGTCTATAATTCATTTCGTGATTCCACTATAAAAAATTTAAATGACTTCTAGTGAATGTTAATATTTTTCTGCCGGGAAACATCAAATGAACATTTCATATCATGGCATTTGCCATTCCACAGTTAAAACTTTTCATACATCTCGGCAATCAACTCTATTTCCGCATTGTTTCGTGCTTTCTGGAAGGGCACGTTTCGGAGGTTGCCTCACGTTACCTTACTTCGCCTCAGATTCTTAAAAAGGTTTTGGAATGAGCTTACTGCAGTAGCATGCTTTGTCCATATCGACGCATGCGCATTGTGCTTAGACACACAAATGTTGACACTGCCTGCCTTCACGAAGAATTGGATGTCCAATCGCATTCGCAGTGGGCGTGGGCGTTAAATTGGCAAGTTAACAAACGGAGAACGAGATTATTATTGCGAAGCATTTATAATTTCATATAATTTTTGACGTAGTATGTTTGTTTATTAGCGTCTGTTACTTACTTTATTGATATTAATTCTGTTTTACGATTAAACGCATGACTGATATTGTGAATTACTATAAATGAATAATTATGAATTACTATCTACCCGTTTTCATTTGCCTATGCAAGAATGTTTTCTATTACACGGGAGCGAAAGTTTAGAATTTTCAAATTTTCAACCATGCACGATGGTATCTTTATTCTTAGTTAAACGCTGTGTAGTAAACGAGAGAGATATGTTCACTAAAGTGCGCAGATTATACTTCCCTACGTTAAATACAATTCTTATTGTTTTGACGAAAAATAAACTTTAAATTAATTCTTAATACGACACTCGTTTGGAACTACATTATATAAGAAAACTGCTTTGGAACGCAAAACAATTAATATGACAAGGGTTTTGAATAAAATAGGTAAAATTACGACCAAAAACTGAAATCGAGGGGGACATGGTTCCCTCCACCTGAACCGCCACGTTCTGTACGATTTTTGCGTCCCCGTAACATCCAAACCAATTACAGTCATAATCGATTCTTCTGTCAGTGAAATGCTGATTTCGTACAAGTAACAACACGGTGATTGTGTCGAAGTCTGAGACGAATCGAGAAAACTTGTCAACCATGTAAACGCCGGCTAGAAATAGAATGGAAAGGAGATAGACTTTTTTAGTATATAAAAGCATTATACATTATTGGAGATATTACGTGAGGCATGACATTGTAACCTATAAGTTTACGTAGTGTTTTAGTTCGAACATTGTAAAGCATTGCACTCTATTTGTAAACTATTTTGCGATTGATTATGATTTTCGTATAGTTAATTATTTTCATGAGTGGTTATTTCTAAATGGGTCAACATGCGGAGAATCGTGCATTGGAATAAATCTGTAAACTGTTATATTTTAACGTATTTTTGAAAAATAAACTAGGAAATATAATTGGAATGTTACGCCAATTTGGCAAATGCAAACCATCCTGGCAATCAATGCCTGAGGACAAAATTCATAAAAAATCTTGTGCGGATATGTGGAAATTCACAGGGCCTGAAGTTTGTGTGCGTACAGACAGATTATTTTGTTGAATCATACGCAAAGTGATCGCGACTACGACCGTGAAATCAAAACAAAATCCTGATATTCGAACTAAATTATTCTCTTATCTTCGAAATCATGTCTTTCAGGCCAATCACGACAAATAAAATATCTTAGGAGTGATGCGTTTTGAAAAGCACATTAATGCTGGACATGCAAAAGAGGCAATTTCTATTGTTGTATCGAATTAGGCCGAAAGTCGTTACGAGGATAGACACTTAGCAAAAGCGAGAATTCTTCTACGTAGGATTTTGAAATCTTTAACACAATGTTTCACAAGAATCTCCTGTGTTTGAAAACTTTATTAGTTTCGTGTAGGAAAAAATGAATCGGTAGGATCGTCTGATCGGTGATACCACTCGTCTGTATAATTAGCTTCATGAAGTAATTAAGAATGTTGTGTTATTGTGGCATTTTTCCTATTGATGTATGTTCATATTCGAATATTATTGTAGATATCACTTCACCATCAAAATGATCCGAGATTCGTAAGTTTTTCTAATGGACCTTTTTTCTGAAGCATTTACTTTATTGTTCCGAACAAAAAAGTAAAAAAAATGATATATATGTATAAAAAGTTTTAAAATCCAGAGATGAAAAAGGTAAAATTCTGTTTCCTTATTTCGCGAAAGGTTACATCGAAAGGTCTCCAGTAATCGTGTTTATTTTTCTTTTGTCAGATGAGGCACTTTCGGTTACGCCTCTGACCACAGGCACTGTTTCCCTGCAAGGCAGGCCTCTCCCGGGTTGTTTAGTCAGCACGTCAAATGTGCCAGCGGTTTCTCAAAATAAAAGCGTACTGAATACCGTAATTGATTTCCGCTGTCGTTATCGGAGGGTCGGCGGTGTCTCCCCCCCCCGCCGGGCGCTGAGAATATTTACACTAATAAAAGGATTCAGTACGCTTTTATTTTGCAGAAACCCGCTGCACATCTTGACGTGCTGACTAAACCAACCCGGGAGCAGCCTCCTTGCAGGGAAACCAGTGCCTGTGGTCAGAGGCTCGAACGAAAAGTGCCTCATCTGCACAAAGAAAAATAACACCGATTACTGGGGACTCCTTTCGATGCTAACCCTTTCGCGAATAAGGAACCAGAATTTTACCTGTTTTCATCTCTGGATTTTAAACTTTCCATACATATATAATCATTTTTTTACTTTTTGTTCGGAACGAACTAATGTAAATGCTGTCAGAAGAAAAGGTCCATTAGAAAAACTTACGAATCTCGGATCATTTTTGATGGTGAAGTGATACTACAATAGATTCGGAATAGAACATACATCAATTAAGCGGAAAAATTGCCACAATGAACACAACATTCTTAATTACTTCATGAGCTAATCTATTACAGACGAATGCATCCGATTCATTTTTTCTACACGAAAACTAAAAGTTTTAAAACCAGGAATCTTTGTAAAATGTTGTTAAAGCATTTCAAATCCTACGGTAGAAGAATTTGGCTCTCTTGCTTAAGGTTTCTAATTCTCTTCGTAACGGACTTTCGCCTAATTCCTCAACATAGAATGAATGGCCTCTTTTGTGTCCAGCATTAATGTTGCTTTTCAAACCATCAAAACTTCTAAGATATTTTTTTCTGTCGTTGATTGGCCTTGAAAGTACATGATTTCGAAGATTAAGCGGAATTTAGTTCTGAAATTATTTTCAGCATTTTGATTTCTCACGTCGTACGTCGCCGATCATTTGCGTATGATTCAACAAATTCTCGTCTGACCGACTCACAACTTTCAGGGCCGTGAATTTCCCACATAGTCCGCCAAGATGTTGTTATAATTTTGC